TAAAAAAAAAAAAAAAAAAAAAAAAAAACAGTTGTATGAGATACTTAGGTCAATTGTAGTACAGGAAATGAATGGTAGTCACTGTTATTAAATAATGCTAACATACCTGAATTCATTATATTAGTAGATTTGTAATAACAAACAATTAACTAGATATTAATCACAGAAATAATTTCTCAATAATATTTTTAATTTTAAGCTTCCAGTATCTTATTAATGACACGAATTCGAGGCTTGAATTAAAATATTTTGTTAAATGGACATCTAAAAACACAATAGTGAAAAAGCTACTTAGAGTGGATAGATTCTCTTTGTGCAAGCTTAGCTTTTGATGTGCAAAACACTGATAACTATATTCCATCAGAATGGCGCCTTTTTCAGTACTCACTGTTCACTTAATTGCGTTATTCATAAATGCCACGACTCTTTGAACTATTAGATTACTATTTAAATAACATGCCAATCATTTTGAAAATTCTGATTTTTGGTCAAAGTTAACAGAAATCATTATTCATTCCTCGCTTATCAATTTCTTTAACTAGTCTCTCTTGGAACGCAATATTGAGAGTTCTACGAGATCATTCTTTAAAGGATTACTGAAAAATTCTATTGCCAAAAAATTGTAATTAGGAAGAAAAAATGGACATACGAGTTGATGATCAATCTGGATGAAATGCAGATCAAATGTGTGGACTACATGCAGGAAGGCATTCTCTCCACGAATCGTAAATTGTTTTGCAAAATGAGTTGCATTCGACCATGTAAAATGGAAAAATGTATCATCTCTGACAATGAACACAGTTTGGTCCACGAAAAAGTGGTTAGTCAGAGGATTTAGGAAAGACAGGAAATTGATGTATCATTTTATATCTTGGTTTCCCTCACTTTGTTTTGACTTAAAGATATCTTTTATTTTCAAGGTCATTAAAGGCAACAAATTCACATAAAAAGAAACTGATGTGACAAAAATTTGATAATTTTGGAGATAACTGTAGAGGATCTTTTTCTGTATTAGAAAGGTGCATTATTTATTTATTACCATTATTTGAAATTAATAACTAGTGATTTTTATTAATCATTCTTTCATATTTGCTGTAGTAGAGAAAACAATTTAGGTATCCATAATAAATGGATCACTTTGTATAGTTTACTTTCAGTATAAACCACTATGCTAAATGATATCTCCATTATTTTCCCTTTGAGTGTTTGATAAACAGAGCTATCTCTATACAAAAAGATTTATATCCTCGTGAAATACTGCCATCTTATTAATTCTGTATAATTTTTTATTTTTCTAACTTTATTGTAGATCGCAATGAGTATTTGTTTTCTTCAACTCAATTCATTGTTTAATAGGAAGCAATAATATGGTAACATAGATTTAGTACAAATAATTGGGATTTATTTATCATTGTATTATTATTGTATATTATTATATCCCAATAAAGAGACAAGATCAGAGAAGAACTTATAACTATATAGGATGTCCCAGCAATGGTAGAACAACTGGGAAGTGTGTGATTCTACGTGAAAAAGCAAATCGAAAATAAGGAATAAAATATTTTTCTTCAAAGCCTCGTTATCGAGAAAATCGACTTTGAATATTCACCGAGTACACGTGCACTTAACTATGGCTTACAATTAGATGCATAAACTATCGATACATCAGCATCGGCGTTACAATCAAGGTGGGGATGAATCTGCATAAAAAAACAAATTGAAAGTAAAAAATAAAATTTTTTCATTCGAAGTTTCGTTGTTGAGATAATCGACTTTGAATATCCACTGAGCGCGCTGATATACTACTAATAGTCCATCCAAGCCAAAGTTAAGTGCACGCGCACTCTGTGAATATTCAAAGTCGTTTATCTTGAAAATGAAGCTTCGAATCACAAAATTTTATTCTTTATTTTCGATTTGTTTTTTCATGTAGAATGAGAAACTCTCTGCTGGAACACCCAGTATACGTAATATCACTTAATATCGTCATTAATATTAATATTAAAATAAAGAATTTTTATTTGACATATTTTTTCATCCAATAAACGGTTTATAAATACTTTATAATAATTAAAATTAAATTTCTTAGCCTTCGTATAGAAGCTCGTTTTCGAGTCACAACAAAGGTTTTTGAGAAACGAGACTCCACCGGTTTTCAGATTTCTATCTTATTTCCCATCATCGTTTAATTTACGGCTCTGCCTTGAAAATGACGATGTAGCTTTTGAATAAACTCGTTTTTACGGATACACGAGATAAGACTATTAAAGTCTATGTTCAACATTTACAAAGAAGACATTAATCATAAATGAAAAGCTTGAGCGTGTGGTTGACTGAGAAAAATGTTCTCAGAGCCTTTCAGCATCAAAGAGATTTCCTCACTAACTTCGACAAGAGTATTTAACTTCGGTTGCTGTAGACTATATTTTTATTGAAAAATATCATGGTGTTCAAAATATGTTAAAGCAGGAGAATAAAAGAAATTTATTTACTTCGTAGGAAATACAATTTCTATTTAAATTTCTACTTAAAGAGAAATGAAAATTCTTATCTATGGTTAATTATAATAGTGGATAAAAAAATTCCTATTTAAATATTTCTTTTTTTATCTACTATTATAATTAACCATAGATAAGAATTTTCATTTCTCTTTTAAACATATATAATAATAAATTATGAATATCTTTTTCATTGATTTACATTCTCTTTACTTAAAAAATAAGTAGTCAATTGAAATGTACCAGGATTTACCATGTAATATGACAATAATTATGTATCATATATTCAGTGACTCTTAGATAAATATCAAGATGAAAACATTGCTAAAATAATACAGCACGTGTAATTTTCCATAACTCCATTAATCAAAAGGTAAAATTTCGTAGAAATAAATTGTAATGTTCGTCAGAAGTATAAGATTCCATTATAACCTAATATCTCCAATTATGCCTTATATATACAATTACATCTGTAAATAATTTTAATTTTATAAATTAACATTCGAACAATTATAGAAATAGTAAATCGAAAATAAATTTGTCGAAGATAAATTTTGAAGAAAAAGGCGTAATAATATTTAACGAGTGTAAATTTATCCAAATCACCGCGTTGAAAATCTGACAGCCGATTTAACGAGCGTAGAATCTCGATGTAGAATCTGAAAAAGAAAAAGCAGAAAGACCGTCGGGTAAATGTGGCAAGTACGAATCGAAAACTGCTATAAAACGCGGTTTGCTTACTTTTCAGATCGATCGAGAGGTGTAGGTTGCACCTGCGAAATCATTCACGTAACGTTTCCCCGCGCCTGGTCCGACATTTTTCCGCGATACGTTTACAGCATTATGCACTCTCCTGGAATCAGGTCAAGCCTGCAGCCGTCCGATTTCTCCGTCGTTCGATTTTGATGTGCGTCATTAAAAGAGCGTATATAACCTCGATCCGCCGTGCCTTTGGCGGAAGTCTCTGTTTCGAGCCCAATCGAATCGCGTTGTGCCTCTTCTTCAATCTCCCAAATGTTCCGACATAACCTCTACTGACGCACATCGCGCACCAGAAATGTATATCAGCGCCGCGAATTTACAACTTCGACGAAAGCGAATTGATGCACCGTGCAGGACCGTAAGAATAGTCGATTCGAAGGCTGACGTTTTTATCCCCTTTGTCATTTTTCTTCTTTAACGAACGACCGCGTATTTTTCCATGTCAAAAGTTATTTTCTCACCGTGCTCTTTTTTCTCTGCCTGAAATACAAATTCTCACGAAATCTTTTTTCCTGTTCAAACAGGATGTACTGTTAAATCGTGTGGAGTTCTTAGTTCGACTACTTATTGCTACTTTACCTCTCGAAGATCTAGCAGGGATTTAAATACATAATCTGGCTTAACCCACTTAGGTTAAGTAAGAGAATGAAAAAGTAAATGTTAGATTAGGAGCTTCTGTGAACAAGAAGGAATTGTGAAGAGAAATAGCGGTAAGCTGCCGTTTGAAGGTAGGAAAGAGATAGAGCGTGGCATTTGAGTTCTCGAAGTGTCTCCATCTAGAAACAAAAAAAGTTACTATCGTGCTATGCAACGATGGTTTCTATATACCGCGACTCGACTAGAGTTTCGCTGGTAATCTTGGAGCTATCAATGACGATAGTAATTATTGGCTTACCCTATAGATACGTGTTGAACTGCAAAATATTCGCGGTAAACGTCGGATATTGTTTCGCAAATACGGGTACCAAAATAGTGAATCGATTTCACGGTTTGATGAACTCGCTTCAGAATTCCGAAGAAATTTCCTTTAAATACTCGGTGTTGGTAACTTTATCCAATAAGCGTGTTTTGTCCGTGAATCAGAGTGGCATTGAAGAATTTATAAAGTGTTTTTAAATTAGATTGTTCGCTTTACAGAATTAACTAATTTTTCTCATAAAAAATTTTAGTAGGTCATTTGTAAAGTGTCGTTTGGCATAATTAAATGTGAAGTGGCCTTTTGCAGTTCTTCCATTTTGTTACGGGTTTCTGAATATTTTATCGTTATAGTTAATAATAGGATTTTCATACATATATGTTTTTTTATACACATATAATAGTATGTGTTGTGATTGCAAAATTTTGTACAGCAATCTGTAATGAAAACGAAATTGTCTTCTCAGACATGAACGAGAAGATAAAAACAAATGTTATATACAAAGTGATATAAATATTTATCGAAAAATATACAGTGTGTCCTCATATATAATTCGATGGATCAATAACTTTGCAACATCTGGAAATAAACAAAATTTCATAAGGAAAAATTAATAATTGTATTTGTTCATTTTTTAATATCATACACACCTTTACACTTTAGACAATATATCTTTCCAATATTCAAAACGTATTAATATACTTGTTTGTTTGAATTAAAAAGCATTTCAACTTTAACTTTGTAAAATGTAGATAACAAATATACAAAATAATGAAACTCTGATAGACAAATTTTCCAAAATCCATGTCAAATGCTCTCAATCCAATCTATTATATAGTACATATTTTTACAGTAACTACATATGCTATGTATTTTAAGGAAAATTATTATTTGGATAGTGTACAGAATTATCAATTAACGGTATATAATAAATATACATTACTGTAAAAATTCTGATTAAAATTACCACACGATGATGATTGCCACAAAAAATTCTTTAAAAACGTTTTATAATTATTGCGTGATCCAATATCGATTACACGATACATAATCTTTAAGTCCGATCTTTTAAAGAGGATAGTCCATAGTTTTGTAGGAGATATTCGACTTTTTATTCTGTTGTGGAAGAAATAGGTTAGGTTAAATTATATTAGGTTTGGGTTAGGTTAGGTTAGATTTTAAAATTACCACACGATGATGATTGCCATAAAAAGTTCTTTGAAAGGATTTTGTGACCATTACGTGATCCAATATCGATTATACGAGGCATAATCTTTAAACTATATATTTGACTTTTTATTCGGCTGTGGAAGAAATAAGATGCCCCCTGATATTAACAGCGAAGGTATAGTCGGTGCATTTCCGGTTGCATTTCATGCGGTTATATCACCTGTTACGCCTGTCGCTCGGTTGTCCCCGTTTCTCGAACACTGTTGACATTATTATGCGAATGTCCTTACAACAGCAAGAGCTGCTATACGCTAATATTGGTAACGAGTACACGAGTACTATCGATTATCAATATCTGATGCTCTACAATAAGAGGAATCACAGACCAATATGCTAACTGGCAAGGAATTTCGAATTCTTTCCGATGATGTACCGTTCTACGTCAGAAAAATTTCTCGCGACCGAAATCGTGCGTCGCGTAGTACACTTCGACGAGATTAAAGACGCGATATAAGGCAATCGTATCGATTTATATTGGCGCGCATATTTGAACGTGCTTAAACGACATTTACAGTTTTCGGGAACAATAATAATTAAAAGTGTAAATATTATCCTTCTCTTATAAGTTTCGCACCGTCCATTTTGTGTCGGGATACTTATATATACTATTTACGATATTTTTATATGGGAATTATTTATGTATATATTCTATAAGCTTTATATAAGTATTTATCATTTATTGCTTGTATTAGTAATTTTATTTGGTTCATTTTGATATTATCTTTATAGAAAAATATTTTACGAAGTTGAAGGTTAGAATTACTTAATTTTTTTTAACGAATAATTTATAAATTTACCTAATTGTAAAAAGTTGTAAAAAAGATTGCTGGCATTGCTTCACTTTTTGTTATAGTCATACGGTGAAAGAAATCAAGAGGAGTTAGATAATAATGCTACTTCTGCCCAATTTTATTTTTAGGTTTAATCGCAGTTAGATCTTATACAATGTGATTCACGTCAAAAATATTGCTTACTAAGCTATTAGTATCTACTTGGAAATGAAAAAATTCAAGATTTCTAAAAATTAATTCGATATAATATACGATTAACGAATAAGAAAATAATAAATTCTATAAGCAATAAAAACAAAGTCCCTAGCATGTCTACAGTAAAAAATAAAAATTTTAAGGTAAATGACAAATTTTATTCTCAATATGTTTCATATATATTCCATCACAATAATTTGGTAAAATTGAAAAGTTTATTATACTTTGACCGATTAAAAATTTAATGCAATCTAGTTTAAATAAAATAATTGAAAATTTAGTTTATTCTATTTAAGAAATTTCTTTTATTATAATTAAATTTCTTTTCGGTACAAATTGTCCAATAAATTTCTACTACGTAACCAGATCTCGTATAATTCAATTTCTAGTCATTTTACATAACAGAGTTTTAAATTTCATTTGCATGATATCGAATATCCAACTAGCACCTACTTCTGAAAATCTCAGAGTTTCTGTCTCACCATCTCTTAAAATCGAAGAATGACGGAAGAGAATAGATTAGTACGTCAGAAAGTTCAAAACCGAGGGAGCGAATCAATTAAAGCCAGTTTCCTCTCTTGGCCATCAATTTCCCAAGTGAAACGTGCGACTAATGTATCAGGCTAGACAACCCCTATTAAAGCAATTTCATTTTCTTGTCCACCAATAATGTGTTTGTCATTCAGGCAATATTACTGATTTAGCTTCAAAGAGATATAATGCCACTTAATATTTCAGAAATGTATCTCCTGATCTATATAAGGAATAAAAATTATATAAACATTTACATTATTTATGTACAATAATTTTTAGCACACATGTTAATTATGAAAGAGCATATTCTCAAAAATAGTGCACTAATTTTTAATTACTCAAAGTAATTTCTTTAATTCGACATAATTTATTTAAATTACAATAACGTGATTAAAAATTGTTTAAAAATTATATATATGGTATTTAAAAATTTATGGTCTTTTTGAAGCGAAGTCTTAAAAGAAAAAATTATGAAAAATTCCATAAATAAATAACTGATCTCTTACAACACAGTGATCTGATTTATTTTCCCAATATTATTAACTCCGCTCTGTAACAAAACAAAATGCAGTTCCTTAGAAGCTAATAATCGGGAGTAATCGTTGGTCAAAATTTCATTTCACAATTTTTCCCGTGCTAGGGAGAAATACATTAACTATAACTACGATAATCTCGTCATATTTACAAATCTAACCTCAAATTGCATTTTCAAGTATAATTACCCATATTTTCTATCACATATTTCGTCGAAATCGTTTAAGGCTACATCCTTCGGCATTCTCGCAGTGTTTACGATACACGAAATCCAATATTCGATACAAAAATACCGTCCAATCGTCCTAACCTTACCACTTACCAATAATCGGTAGGAAATTAAAAGTTAGCCATATTTAATCGGACGTAACCTGAAAAACAGAAAGATATCGACTATTAAAGACACTTTAACCACGCAACGATAAACTCGGCTGTCGTCGTGCAGAGAAATAAGGTTCGCCATCTTTACAGATTCTTGCTCGCCGCGCGAATATTCAAATAATTCAAACTCGGTCGGTAGGCGTGGATTTTCTAAATATTTGGCCGAGTATGTTTATCGACATGCCCGGTGCTGCCTACATAGTATGTGTATACGTACGAGCGAGTTAACAGGCACTAACACAGACGCAGGCGTATGCAACACTAGGGTCGAGGGGAGGAAAGAGACATGGAAAGCGGATAGGTGGCCTGCTAGATCCGTCGCTAAAAATACACGTCGCAATAAACTCAAGGGTGACGTCCACTACATAGATACGACGTATTTAGCTGTCCTTAGTTATACTTTCATTCTTCTTCTTTCGAGTTGCCGTTTAAAAAGAAACTTTCTTTCCTGCGTCGAGGAAAATCCAAATTGTGGACGTTTTTCGAAAAGCTCGTCCTCTTTGAACCAGTGGATGCACGCAACGTGCGAGAATTCGTCGGTACAGCGTTGTATCGGAATTATTTCATCAAACGTATTCCACGCGGGCACGAACTATACGCGATATAGAAGCGTCGGTCGCTTACTCTTATTTCACCGGATACAATTCAATCGGGAAATTGCGGTTAATGCATTCAACCATGATTTTATTTTTATAAAATATAATTTCAATTTAACGAAATTATAAAAACCCGAGGCGAAGGAATTTTTGTATAAATATTAAAGCAGGTACTTCACGAGTGAAGTGCTTTATGGTGAAAAGTTAATATCTTGTTTTGCATGCGATATCTAAAGCAGCTGCGTGCAATTACCTTGGTTTTATTAAACGTGATATTCGACACGCTATAGGATTACACTTTTCAGTGCAGACTTCAAAAAGCGGTATTTTAAGCCATTCCTACGTAACAATAACCGCATTTGCGCCCATATTAAAAACAGTTTCTATAAATGGATTTTAACTATTGTACTTCAGTGGTATAAGCTTGGGTTTAGAATTTAAAGCATATATTCGTAGAAATTTTTCTATAAATTTCTTCTTTCTTCCGAGATTTTAGGATAGTAATGCTGTTTATAATGTTAAGAACAATATTGATTCGTTTGTTCGAGTATTAAACGAATTTATGGTCGTGGTTTTTTATTTCGTTCTATTTATTGCAATACTCATCTTAATAATAATAGGTTATAATAATCAATAATAGCGAGTAATATAATAATAAATTGCTACACTTCGGTATAAAATAAATTTAAGTTAAATAATTTTTTTATAATGACAATGAAAATTAAAAATACTCGCAACGTTATTAATATTGACCCGTCTTTTTATATTTAGTGCAATTGCTTGATAAAAAAAAAAGCGTGAAAAGTATAAAGGTTCGAAGGCCAAAATAATGTGCATAGGTTATGTACGTAAATGTAAGAAAACTGGGAAAAGAAAGAAAATTACATTAATGTACAATTTTAGTGGATTATAAAAATATATTATTTCGATGTTCGAAAATTTTTGATAAATTACGTTCCAAGCGATGATTTAATCCAGTGTAACACAAAGCTTAACTATGTAAATGGACAACTTCCTAGCTAGTTTGTTGATATAGCGTATCTGGACTCTGCAGTGCGTCAGTCTAGATCGTGAGTAATTAATAACACTAACTCCAATTGCTTCCTAAGTTCAAGACTTATTGTTAAACGTACAATGCATCTAAGGAGAACACGATTATGCATATGTAATTTTCCAAATTCGATTAATCGCAATTATCGAGATTAAAATAAATCCATATTAATGGTATTTCTTCCTTACATTTTAATATTTCATGTATCTCAATGACAAACGCCATTTTGTACTTTATTATACGCTCTAGAATTCCACATATATATTCATTAATCCCCGTGTATTAATAATGAGCTTTTGATTGGTCGGTTTATGTTTCCTCGGTTAAAATAAGTAACATCGCTATACGCCATAGAAACTTCCAAACGTGTAATTCTAAAGCATCCCGCCAGATGACTCTAATGAAGCTCATTTAGAATTAATAGACGTGAAAGTAGTTTCAGATGCTCCAGGTCAAACTTCGCCCCGTTTACCCCGTTGGAATGTTTATAAGTCTCATACATATCCATTGAGGGCCAAAATGTTAATTCCAAATTGCATTTCTCAATTCCAAAAAATAAATTTCTATTAAGAATAACGTTGCTTATAATCCGCTACTAGTATACATATGATAATACATCTCTAACACGTTTCTAGGATTTCTGGGAATGAAGTTTTTCTCATTGTGAGTCGTATCACGCGAAGTCATATAAATTATTTTTCTAGAAATTATTGAGGATCAGACCTGAGCCAAATTCCTTTCAAATAATAATTCAAAGATGAACATTTCTAATAACAAAAATGAACATACGTCATTGCTTGATATTATATTTTGTTATTTGAAGAAATACCTAATTATTTCCGAAATTAAAAAAAATACGAAACAATGAAATTTGAAAATTCATGGAAATACCAGGTCTATTGGAAACAATGAAGAGATACTTTTTGATGTTATAAACTCGTCACTGTGTCACGTGATGCAAATTCGTTGCAAATAATTCAAAAATGGATATTTCGAATAACAAACATAAACATTCGTCATTGCTTGATATTGTATCTTTTTATTTGAATAAATGCCCGATTATTTTTCAAATTTAAAAAAATACGAAATAATGAAATTTGAAAATTCGTAAAAATGCCGGGTGTATTGAAGACAATGAGGAGATTCTTTTTAACGTCCATGAACTTATCAGTGTATATCACGTGATACACACTGTCCGTCGAAAGTTCAGGACCACCTGCTGTAAGCGTTGATTATTCGATTACTTGAACAAGATTTATTAAGTTCCTTTGCTCTGAAAAATGAAACTGTACAGAAAGATTGAACTGGCATAAACATGTAAGAGCTATTGCAACGAATAAGTCAGATAAAATACGTCCGTGAATACTTTTCATCTGAATTGTATCAGATAACTGGGAAGGGAAATCGACAGAAATGAAGGAACGAATTTCGCTGATGCGGAACAATATCTATGTACATTCGCATAGGCTACGTTAATTAAAGCGTTACCCGAAACCAACAACGTTTCGTTACCAAACCCGGACAGATTCTTCTTTCCAAGAATTACACGAGCTTGAATGTTATCGTTGAAATACAATACCGCTTGCATATTCCTGGAACAAATCTGCACTGAAATATAGGTCGAATATTTTTCGATTCTCGATTCACCGGCAGATTTTCTGCGGGTTTGCGAAATCCACTAAATACGAAAATTAATTAACGGAAACTGAAAATTAAACACTAGATTATCTCTAGTTATATTAAATTCTCTGTTAATATTTAGAGCAATCTTTTAAATACTCTTGGATTATTTGAAATTTTTGAAAATCGATTTGAGTTTAATAAGCGTGTTATAAATTTTTTTTTTTTAAATATGATCATCTCGATTTTAAAAATTTCGTTAGTTTGTTTGGTAAAATTATTATTCCAATGCTAGTAACTTTTTATTTTTGTTGTACTTCTTTTTTTTATTTTTATAAATTTTATTTTTGTTTTTAAATGTTTGCAAATATTGTCCAGTGTCTCGATATTTTCGAATGTTTCATATGACAATGTGTAATGTTCAAAGAAGAAATAAGGGTAATGAAATTTCCTATCCAAACTCCAACATAATTTTTTCTACCCACTCTACCTCGCGTATCGATTAATGGCGGCGGTGTGGCGCCCACACTTTTAGCTTGGATATCATTTTCGTTTCCTCAAACAATTTATGAAACGTTAACTTCGATATTTAAAAAAGGAATTTGAAGATCAACACATTTTACTTGTCTTCCACTTAATTGCGAATTTCATTTTTGTTTATCCATGCAGTGCAAATATTTCTCGTCAAAATTTCTTTCTACGCGATGTTCGAACCATTTTTTAAAAATACACGAAGCATAACCATTTTTCTGATGGACAGTATAAATGTCCTTTATGAGGTACATTGACTTATTTCCTTTTTGAAATTTATGGAGTTTTATTTTCCAAGATCAGTATCTCTTTTGTTATTTAAAGTCAAATTTGTTAAATTTTGTTAAATTTTGCTAAATTTCTAGGAAAAATTTAGTAACATTTCTATTAAGATTCAAATTTTCAGAAATAACAAATATTCTCTATATTCTCATCCTATCATAAACTCTAAGAAGGTTACAATTCTAGACACTGTCTTTCAAACAGCTAGATAATTTGTTACATTTCTAGTAAAATTCTAATAACATTTCTATTAGGATTCAAATTTTCAAAAATAACAAATATTCTCTATATTCTCATCCTATCATAAACTCTAAGAAGGTTACAATCCTAGATACTGTCTCTCAAACAGTTAGATAATTTATGTAATTTCTAGGAAAATTCTAGTAACATTTCTATTAAGATTCAAATTTTCAAAAATAACAGAAATTCCTACACTCTATCATATACTCTAAGAAGATTACAATCCCAAGCACTGTCCTCAAACAGCTACATAATTTATTAAATTTCTACTAACATTTCTATTAAAATTCAAATTTTGAAAAATAAGAATTCTCACTCTATCATAATCTCTAAGAAGGTTACAATCTCAAACACTATTTTATATACCTTGTTAAATTCCTAGTCAAATTTCTAGTGAAATATTTAGTAAAATTCTAGTAAAATTGATTAAAATTGACATTGACAGATCAGACAAGTACCTACCACCGAAAAAATCAGTTCTCACAGTATGTCGACCCGCTTGATGAAATCGGGGCCAGAAAACGAATCGAATCGTCGACTCTCCGGCTCGTCGTCCGAGCGAATGATTTCCTCCCACACGGAAGACACACCGTTCGAGATCACTCGCGAACCATCCCTAGATTACTGCCAGAGATCGGACAATTGCTACACGCTATATCCTTCGGAAGAGCGCGCGTCTCTTTGTCCAGTGAATCCGGATGCAACCGGTTTCCAGTTGGACGACCGCTCTGCCCTCTATCTGTCAAGTCCCGATGACGAGACGCGTGCGAATGCTTCGACACGCTCAAAAACTAGTAACTCGAAACAGCAGAGAAACAATTGCGAACTTGATCAACGCTCCAGTCGTCGTTCCAGCGTGCAGTCCAGCCGTTCGAGAACAAACAGCTGCAGCAGGCCAACACCGTTAGGTAGGAGACAATTGGGTCATCAGACTTTTCGATCGATGAGAAACGCACATGCTAGTTCATTACTGCTCGGTGTGTAGTGACATAACGCGTAGCGATTTCGGGCTCAACGATTAATTTCATTGGCCGGTGAATCGATACGATCCTGTTCGATAGGAAGGACCTTGAACAGGGTATAATTGGTTTATCACTGTAGCGCGTTCGTCCGTTTCTCGATATTTCGTTTCTCCATTTGCACTCGTGTGAAAAATTCTCGGGAACAAACATCGAGTGAGGCTGGTTACACGTATTTGAAAATGTTTTAAAATCTTGATTCCTATAACGTAAATATCGAAAACATTAATTACCAAATTCTGTTCATAGATGGCTCTGTAACTATGTCTAATATATGTATAGTTTGAGTACAGTTTGCAAAATATAAATTTCAATTGATCGACTCGAATGAATAGAGTAACAATATGATAATGAGAGTGTAATGTACGAGTAAATGATGAGAAAAAAAATCTTCAGGCAATGGTAGAAGAGGTAGCACAAATAGGAGGTCGAAAACTCGAAGAGCGAGTGCCACACGTAGAAAGGATTCTGTACGACCCTTGAAGAAGGATGAAATAAAGGAGGCGCAGAAGGTCTTGGAAGATGCTCAGACTCTAGAGCAAGCGAGGCGTCATCGAAGGATTGCTATGATCGTCCTGGGAACGTTTCTTTTCCTTCTGGCAGCTTCGGTTCTCGTGGTGGTGGTTACGTTAACACACAGCTCATTCTTGAGTCCGGCTATGGGCTCCAAGGAACTAGCTGAGCATCGAGCTCAGACGTAAATTATCATTTTTGTGATACTTTCCACTAAACGGTTTTGATGGGATTGGTTTAAAGTACAGTTTCCTGAAAAATTAAAAACCTACTATACTCTTTTGTTCTTAAATAACTGAACTGTCATAATATAGTTTATAATAACATTATAATAACATATATATATATATATCATTTTGTGATACTTTTCACTAAATGGTTTTGAAGGAATTAATTTAAAGCACACTTTCCTGAGAAATCAAAAAGCTACTATACTGCTTTGGCTATTAAATAACTGGACTGGTATAATATAGTTTATGCATATATATGTTATCATATTATATTATATGATATTACATGTAATATTGCATAATTGTATTGTTATATAATTATATATATATTATATATTACATAATATAATATACATATCAAAATGTGCATATTATATTGTATTATAATAACATATATGCATATAATATAATATAATCAATAGTGTAATTAAATATAGTATATAAATATACTATATGTATGTATGTATAACATTTTAATTGTGCTTTTCTTGAAGGTATTAACCCCATGCTATTTGCACATCACTGAACTTCACAAAGCAATGCAAAACAGTTCCACTCTTCAAAGCAGCTGTTCGCTTGTCAATGCATTCAGCAGGTCAATGCCTTCAGCCATTTTCCATTCTACAAAAGAAAAAAACATCACAGAGTTCCAAATTAATCCTGACTTTTGTTCACTGTGCTTCTTTTATTATCGACGATGTAGAAGCCCTTCTGTGTATCGACTACTTCTTTGTTTCGATTTTCTTTGTTCGATTCTCACACTTGGCATCATTTCGACAAGGTAACTTGATAACATCCACTTAAAACAAAGAACGCCTGGCAAACTGATCAACCAATCTAGTTCAAACTTGTTCCGTTCAATGGGGAAGAGTCCAAGGTCGATACCTATCCTAACCTAAACCTCGCAATGTGGCTAGTCTTTTTACGGAACACAGTCCTGTTATTTGATAGTCCGAGTAATGTATGTTCGATATTAGATCAATAATAAATCACTTCAGATTCTCCTTCACTTCAAATTGCAAATTATTGTTATAGTTTCTTCTTTTCCTTTTTTTTTTTTGTTAAATTTCAGAAAAAAACCTAAAAATAAATATGTAATTTGTTAATTGGGAATGACGAATTATCTCGTCAAACGAATTATGGAAATTTTGAAGGTGATTTGTATTCCTAAAAATTTTGTCCATTTTTATGCGAAATAGTCTTGTTAAATATATACATTTAATTTGAATATGAATCATTCGAATAATATAATAAGTTATAACAGTATCGATTCTTTAAACTAATCACAGTATTATTTTTAATAGTAGAAGATTTTTGTAATATTATTAAGAAATCAATTGAATCATACGGGTGAAATCAGAGTTTGGGATAAAAAATAAATTACTTACTGATTTATTTCTATCAGTTACATAACCTATAAAAATTTCTTCCTTTGAATTCTAATTCAGAATTCTATAATTTCAATTTCTTATAGATCAAATATAACTGTTGCTAATTATTTATCTACAATTAGTGTGTTAATATGTTAAACACAATTAGAAGTTATCTGATTTCATTCGCGACTAGTAATATCTACATAGTAACATATAGCGAATAAATCAACACGAATAACACTTATTCCAAAATTCACAAATTAACGATATTTTTTCTCTTCTTTCGAACGATTTCAGTGCGCAGGGAGAACGAGGAGCTGTTGAATTCTCTCAACAGAGTCTTCGTAACCGAAAACACGACAATGCCTCTCTAAAGAAGACGTTCTAGAGCAGAATAGAGTGGCCTGTTTTGATGCGCCTTTCGAAGAAGTTTCGCAAGGCGAGATGAAAAAGTACGAGAAGAGGTAGGAAAAGTATCGCGTCGGAAACTTAACTTCGAAATGCCAGGATCAAGGGTCGTTCCTCGGAAGCGGCAAAGTTTTATTACAATTGCATTTTATCCGAGACGTCTTATAGGTATACCGGAGACAGAAGTCGAATTTAATTTGTCACTGTCGCCGCGTGCCGCGGCTAATTTGTCTACTTTGCCGATAGTACGAGCCTCGAACTACTTAGGTTCGTAGCGAGATGGCGCCGATGCTGTAATTCTCTATCCTCGTTTCGAAGGTACGTCCAACCTCACTTTTTCACCGAATTACGTAATTCGACGGACATTCTCGGGAAGTGTCAAACTAAGTACATAAGCGTCGAAATGGAGGGAAACGGATAAAATAGGATAAAAAAATCCGCAAAAAATTACTCGCGACGATTCTATTCGTCGCTTTTGTTAAGCTCGTTGTTGTTATTGGCGCGGCAAATGGATGACCGTGTGAGCCTTGTTACGATGTACGAAATGTGTTGTAAGTTCATTCGATGCACGAAAATTTTATTCCAAAGAAAAACGTTGTATAATCCGACTCGTTTCGCGAAATAAATCTCGAAGGATCGATCCTGTACTGTATATCGACAACGAAAAGGAATGTTTAAAAGACGTTCACGAAACTCGATTTAAATTCTTGTTGGAAAAAGAAATCAAAGTATCAGTATTTCTGAGAACAATAACCTTACTGTTATTCCATGGATGTGTATAAATGACAGTTTCTTTTTTAAATAATACCTCTTTATCTTTATCTTTATCTTATTTCAACGCATTTGTATATTAAAGACTTCGACATATTGATTTTTACTAGTCAAAATCTGGTAAAATTACTTTCTCTCTCTCTCTCTCTCTAGTCATGTAATTGCAGATTAAAAACAGTTTCAGTTGTTAATTAGTTTAAGTATTATGGTAGTCGATACCAAATCGTTAATGAGTAAAAAATAAAATTATATTTTTGTCTATAAATTTTTCTAATTATTAATCATTCTGTTTGCAGAGATTCATTTGTAGAGAATGTTGTGTGATTATGATTTTCTTTATAGGAGTCTTCCACTTTGAAGGGAACTTAATGTAACACATAAATCGTTAAGAAAAATTGCTCGATTCCTTTTTTCCCAAGAAAATCTTTCGAGTGAAATATTTATTTATTTATTATAAAGATCGTTCGTTAGAATGGTAAACCTAGTAATCGCTGTTGTCAATTGTTTGTAAAATTCTAACTGTCGAAGGTTACAAGAGAGGGTGTTGATTAAAGAATTATAGTAATCTAATGTTGCTTTAAGGGGAAAAAATGGAACAAATGTTGGACCTTGCGTGTTAAAATGAAAATTGTCACAATTTATAATTAAAATAAAAAAGTATTCATACCTGACAATCTTGGTAGCAATAAGAGAACAATCTTATTTATGAAATATTTAAATGATATTATCTATTTTTTCTCCTCGAAATTTACATAGTGCCAATGTTAATTAATATCTGAAAGAAATATTGAATTATTTCAATGAATTTTACAACTGATGCATCAATTTTCGTGAGAATAATTATGCGAAATGATTGTTTAAGCAATGTTTCATAATAATCGTGGCAATTTTCCTTCTAGTTATATGTGATTTATAGTTGAGCAGCAGTATTTCATCACTGTAGAAGTACATCAGTGTACTTACATTACATGCATATAATCAAAATTGAGCAGAACAATAATTGCAAAGTCTGAGACGCTAAAAATCATCAAATTTAAAATTGTTTAATTTTGCTTAAATCGGTTAAATTAAAATACCTTGTCCATAAGATGCATATCAACGTCTGTTGCTTACCAATGAATGAATAGCTTTATCGCAACAATATTGCTCGAATATAACCTATACACGTCGTGTCTCTCATCACCATTTCAGATTTAGTCGCAGTCAAAGGATGAATTTGATCATTGGCAAGCGTTGATATCTCGTCGTTTAACTGTATAAGCCGTAGTTTCTAAAACCTCGCCTTCTAGAAATAATAATTTAACGAGTAAAACGTAATTCTGAATTTTGCCAAAGAAAAAAAAAAAAAGATATAAAATCGTAAAGCGAATAAATAAATCTTTCCGACTAAATACAAATAAAATTTTCGATACTAATAATGATTAATTAATAACTGTCGAAACGATGGATCGAAACGATGTCGAACGAGAATTCGTTTAGGAGGATTTAATTGACATTAAAGCGTTTAGCAATTTCTCTTGATCGATACTAATCGATCTCTCGTGCAGTCGGCGCGTAACTATTTAATCGATGCGCGCAGTGCCGCTCAATTTAAACAGTTTAAAGTGAAAATTACTTTTTGCGGTATATACGGATTGCACGTGCACGCGAATAACGAAATAAATAATCGTCGATCGAAAATCGAGAATAATATCGACGAAACATTACACGTGGAATCAGCTGTACGAGAAGGGAAAAGATATTAAAGTTATCGCGTTGAAATACGAACGAGTTGTAAAAAGGTAATGTTTAATAGGTTATGGTAATTCATACGTACTTTGTAATATCGAATAATATGCGTTACTAGAGGTTAACGTACACATTATATAAATATTTAGTTTAGCAAATATTAGCAGCCACCACTGTAAAATGATAATTAAGCATAATTCGATAAATGAATTGTTTTATCCATCGACACTCGACCAATTTCTATCTCGTCAATTCTTGTCTTTTACGCCGAATTATCGATTTTGCTAATACACTATTTCTCTTATTATTCTAAAGGCAGCCGTCCTCAAGAAATGTTGCTCTTCTTCTCAGGAGACGGAAAGGTCGAACAGGCTTGTGTCGCGAGATTCTTCGAAACGAAAGATCATATCCAGAGAGCATTCCTAACCTCTAATACGAAAACATTTTGGAACCATCGACAGATGTCACTGTCCACCCAAGGATTTTTGCGTGATTATACCTATACACAATCAAACACAATCAATATTGCAGTCACGTTGATAACATTGTAACATCGAGGATTTTTTACTTTTTTTCAGTAACCAAAACTTATAGTTCATGATATTCAGTAGCATTCGGACAAAGAAGTACAGGCACAGGATGTTCGCAAACTTTACCACTAGGAGCTGATCTTTTACGACAAGAAACTGAAGTTTTTTGTGGCAAAGCTTTCCACATTAAATCCGTTACCTCGACGTTGTGTATAGCTATCCACTTGTTCATCTTGGACTTTATCAAAGTCCTGTAAAGCTTTCTGCAGTGGTATTTGCTGAAAGTTCTTTCCATGAATATGATACTGTGCTAAAGTCTTAGTCTGCCTGTAAGGTTAGTTGAAAAACACATTTTACACAAATTTTAAAAGATACTGATAAAGTTGATATCAGAATACCTGGTTAACAAGTATTCGGCTAATTAATGTTCACGTGTGTATTCGAGTAATGGAATTTTGTTTATAGGAAGTTCTGCTATTTTTGCACTTATTTGGGAGACACTTATCAAACAAAACAGAAGAAAGTATAATATTGATGTTTCATTATCTATAGATTTACTCTTCATTCTATTGAAGACAAATTTGCCTTCTCTCGCTAACATTTGTCAATATCAGGTAACCATTAAACTCTCCACTTTTTTTATATCAAATTTTTAAAAAATTTTCAAATAGAATGCATTCAAAAGTCAGACTTACTCAACATCATTTAACGACGCCCTCTGGATATGGATCTTAATGCCTTTTTGTCGAAATTGACGATAGATAAGATAAATAAGTTAAATTTGTAAAATATAGCACTCTTTACAGAAACATTGTATAGATCAGTGGCCAATTCTCGAGGTATTATCGAAGCTTTCGAAAATGTATTTGCGTCGCACAATCCAGCATCGACCCTACACGTCGATTTTTTCCGATATCTCGTAGGGTTAGGTTATATAACTTGAAAAACAATGGATCATTGATCACGTAAGAAGAAATTTTTATTCGTTCTTCTTCGAAGACAAAATCGAAAATTCAAACGCGACGAGTAAAATCTCGACGACCCGTTGCACTTTGTTAGATGGAAAATAAACTTTGTTATGACGGTACGGCGTATATTCACCGGTACTTATGCTAGGGTACGTATAGAGTTACAGTCATAATCGTAGATCGTTCGTACTTCTTGGCCGCCATTTCGCGGCCAATGTCTTTAGTAGGGCATCGAGCCACACATATTTGTCGCGTATTTTCTAAACAATACGAATCCTGTTATTTTTACTTGGAATTGTTACAAACGTTTTCGGTATTATGAACAATTCAAACGATGTTATTCGTTACTTTCTAATATGGAACACAGTTCAGTATGAGACAAGAGCAAGAGATAGATACAGTGCTTCCCGGAAAGGTCGTTGTGGAAGTAACCATGAACTATAGTCTGGTTGTAATCATTTAACCTGGGCGTGATGCCATTCTATAAAATTGTATGCAACGTTGAGAGAATAATGGTATTATTCAAAGTAAGATTATACTTAAATATAATAGATGATAAATTCAAACATACCATAATTTTCAGGTACCAGGTGAACTACCCAATAACAGAAATAAAAGTCTTTACATTTTTCATTATATTTTGTTAAATTGCATGGAATAAGAAATACGATAAAATTAATAACCACGTGGGATTAACGAGGAAAAAGTGATAAAATCATGAAGTTTTATGAAGAAGAAATGCGATCACTTATGCGGGGAGTGCTGTATACACGTTATGAACAGGCTTATAAGAGAGGATGTTAATTTCTTCATTTTGTTTTGAAATTATCTGTTTATCAGTTCAGCTCAATTAAGCATGCATGACAGATGGTTTCTTCAAATTAAAAACCTGAAACAATAGTGAAAGTAAGAAAAAGAAGATAAGGGAAAGGTAAACAGTATTGTCAATTTTAATTTCTCCTTACATTATTATATACTTACATATTATGTACTTATACACTGTTATTATTATTTACAGAAACATATTATATATTTGTTTAAGATTGATATTTTATTCATAATTTGTTTGATTGCAAACTTCATTCACTCTCGTTGCATTTTGTATGTAAATATTCCTGTGTTTATCTATAACATTGTCATTCATAACTGATTTTTTAAACATTATGAATAAGATGAATATAAATACATATATTACCATTCGAGATTGTTTAAATTATACTTTTAATTAAACTGATATTACTTGCCTTTTATATTTAAAACTGTTCTATATTGTTCTGTTCATCTCAATAATACTGATTAATGCAATTAATTTAAGCAAAATATATCTGTTTCAATTTTCTGCATTTAATACTGGATTTAGTTATTTATAACATCTTATGCGTCTAACTGGTTTCAGAGTAAGTTATGCATTACAAGCAGTGCCATTAATATCGCTATCAACAGACTTTTCCCAACCATGAAAGAAAAACTTTGCATTTAACATTGCACCGCTTGTGACACACAACGTGTGTGTGTATATGTATGTGTGCGTGCGTGGGTGTATGTGAGAATGTTATGAACATGAGGAAATCCTTTCAACATACCCCTAACGTTCTCGGTTGAAGAGAAACGCGGAGGTGCAGATTAAATAATTTGGCCTAACGCGAAAGAGTTTCTGCCGTTAGTTTCTTCTTCCAACGAGTGTGAATCTATGATTGAAAAGAACGACGATGTTAGTCTTGATTCACCATATACGGAGTATACAGGGTGTCAAAAAAATAAACCTAACAAGTAAGCCTAACCTCACTTGAGACAATTAAAGAGTAATCAGTATAGCATATAAAATAAATTTTTTGTTTTAGGTGCAATGCGATTTTGTGCTTTTAAGTAACTTGGATATTAAGCTCTTGGTTTGGATTAGGTCTGCGTTAGGTTGGCTCTTTTTTGGTGACACCCTGTATATTCTCAATGCGACGTTCCAGATTAACGTATAGTCGACATGGTGACGTAGGAGCGCTAGTCATTAATAGCGTGCACATTTACATGAATAAATTACCATTTCGATAAGTTATAATTTATATCTCGATTTCTCGATTCAATTTAAATTAAATTAAACGGACGAAGAAAAAGAAGAAATAAAAATCAAGAACAAAGTCGAAAAACTTGTTTTCTGGAGATTTTATGTAAATCTTAATAAAGTCTCTTGAAATGCTAAACTAATATTACAGATTTATTTGTCGTTAGACTGCGGATATTTATGTATTCAAAATATTTCAAAATATACAAATAAAAGATGTGAAACAGAAAATATAGTAAGATATATAGCATATACTATATTATATTGAAAATATTTTTTAACAATGGAAGTTTTATCTTCTATTTTAAACTAGATAGTGAAATTTTTATTTTAAATTAAGTAAAACTCTTACCACTTAAAATTAAAAGACAAATTTCTATCCAGATTTCATTTTATTTTATTATTTTTTTATGAGGATATATATCTGATAAATATCCGCATTAATTGAATAAAACGTATATTTTTCATATAAAGCGTTTAAAAATGGAGAAATTACGCTTTAGAATAAATGCCGTATAATTATTTTTGTAGTGAAAATAATCAGTAACGTCGCACGTGTGCAGTACGGTAACATATAACAGAGAGAAACGGTAATAGCTAAGAAAGAAAGTGTTTAGTTTTATATGTCCAGATAACCCTGTTCCTACGTCGCCAACGAACTTACGAGAAGTGTATAGCTAAGTAAGTACCATTGTAGCAGTATGTAAATTAATCGCGATGAACCTTCGAGCTAGTAGACTAACCTGTACGAAGACAAAGCGTGTGCCAAAGTGACAAAGAAAATTGTTATTGTGTCGAAATAAAATTACATAGAGCATCACTTTTCTCCCTTCGACAATCAAAATGGTGTGTGAATTGAGTCTCATGCATATTTTTGTGTAATAAGCATAACGAGGACGTATATACATACGTCGATTCGTCGCTCAGAGTGCTTTGCATATGACGTATTGCTAACCTAAAAAAAAAAAGAAAGAATCACGTATGGAGAATGTAATGCAAACATTAGTATCTCTAAATTGTCAGATGATTGATTTCTCACGCTTCGTTCCTCCCGCTTGTGTCTTCCTTTAGAGTTAGAGAAACTTAAAAATAGTGTAAAACAAGGAAGTTGCTCCCTTATCATTTAAATATGAAAGGTTATAAAAAAAAAATTTTGTTTAATGTACAATTCCGATATATTTCATATCTGTGATTATTCGAATTTTATTTATTAAATTAATTTATTAATTTTATATATCTATGAATTTTTCGAATTTCTTTGTCAGAAATCTTTCTTTCTGTTTCCCTGGAATTTTGCATTACAAGGTATGCTGTAAAGAAAAAGATAAAAGTATTTATTTAGAGAGTAAGTAACCAACGTCAAGTATCACAGATCGTAATAACCTCGCAATTGTTCTTTTCGAAGTTAGACTTACCGAGAACATAGAACTCTAATTAAAACTGTATGCTAGCGCAGCACGTTATACAAAACATTTTTGCAATAAAACTATCGGTCAAAAACAATGGTTTCGAGGTCTTAATAATCAAAGAAACGAATTGTACGATTTAACTACGGTACGGAATTTGAATTTGTCCGTTGCGATCACGTGCAACGAGGAGGTTATTTTACTCAAAGGGATAACAATTTATTAGACAGCTCGACCCTGAATGGGAACGAGCATTTAATACAAGGCATAAGCAGAGGGATTTATCTTAGGAAATCATAATAATAATCTCGACAATGAAATGTGTATCATAATGACGATGTTGTAAGATGTTAATGGATGAAATATTAAGGTTTATGTTTCTATATTGTAATAACATTTATGTATAATGGTTATTATAATGCAAAAAATATACATACTAGTTGTCCAATATTTGCATTTTTATTACACTTCATTATTTCCTATACCAATATATACGTATTATATACTTGCTCTATATCTACTAAGGGTAGTGATTATATTTCCTTACACAAAGTCTTTTAAACTTTAAACTTGCCTCTCTGATAATTGTCCTCTAACAAACAACTTTCAAGACTTTACATCTACTTACCTCTGCAAAGTAAATTTTAAAAACTATTTCTACTAAAAATACCAGAATTAAGTAGAAAGCAAAGAATCGTGTATTTACATCTAGGTTATAAAACCAGAGATCTAAATTTAAACCTAACTACAGATAAATGTTCCTTTTTTCCTGTTTGCTGATAAAATAGAAATCTATACGACGAAAATAGGAAATAAATGAATATAGAAAAAAATTATTAGCAATAAGAAAAATAAAAGAATGGGAAAATTTCATTGCAATTAATAAACATTTATTGTCAACGTAAATTGCAAACTTCTACATTGTAGAAATCTGTATGAAATACATTTTCAAATCTTCCACCCTGCCTTAAAGGGACTTGTAGAGAGTCATGCAATTGCGTGAACGAAACATTTTACAATAAGTACATTGTGCTTCACGATATCGTATAAATTCGTTACATACATGCCGTCGATAAGTGACAACGTTTTAATTCACGGCAAATCGATTCGTTGTATGTAATAGGTGGTATACATACATCGATATAGATATACGGATATACATTGATTTGTTGTACAGTTATTTTTGAACAATATCATATGTTCCGTATGTAACGTAATATATATAATATTCTGCTGTTCGTTAGCGTTGTTAATAATAAGAAATATTTAATTATAATCGGGCCGATTATATTCTGCGCCGAAGCTATTCTTATAGTAACATGTTTCACCCTGCCTAAAAGGGATAAATAAAGTTAGTCATGCCACGGTGCTCACCTAAATCCATCTTGCATCAGGGCCATTAATGCGCGGTGTTCTTATTACTCGCGATAATACGCGCCGCAATTCGATAACGTTTAATCGTAACCATTGTATTAATTATTTATCTTGCACCCTGCCTGAAAGGGATAAAAGTTGGTTCTAATCGCCAAACTAATCACAAGGAACACTACGACAATTTATATCTAATCCATAGCCTAACTTGATACTTCAGATATGAAAAAATGTAAAAATGTATCATAGAAACATATTAATCATTCAAAAATCAGACTGAGCAACTTCATTTTTCATAAACTTATTGCTTAGTTTAATTAATACTGATATATAGACCAAATTTCAAAACTATTTAATAATAAATTATTTCCTATATTTTTTTCTGTATTTTGATAGTCTACGGATTAAATAATTTTATAAAAATTTAAGAATTCGTTATCAATAAATCCTTCGTCAGAATAAATCAATCTTGCGTTTTAATATAGTGTGATGTTGTTTGGCGACGAATAAATATACGCTTTACGATTACTTTAAAATCTATCAGTCTCAACATTTAACCCTGCCTAAAAGGGAAAGAAGATGGTCATGCGAGTTTGCTCTTTAGACGATTAGGGCCCTAATTGACACATTCAAAGTACAACATGATTTCAAGAAACTTCTTCGAATTAAATTCCAATCGTTCGAATCGATTTCTAGAAATTATGAGTTAACAAAATATTCGCATTGTCTTCCGTTAAAATTGCTTCGATTATTATTAACAAACTTGACTAAGATTTCATCGTATTCCCTGAAACTAATGTAAATGACGAATAGTTAAAGACGTCTATAAAAATAAATATTCAAGTAAGCGTGAACGATGTAAAAAAATAACCGCGTATAAAGTATGGTTTAAATCATATTTACCACGTTTCTCGTCTTTCTTGTTACTCCTGCATGTCGAGCGATTTCTCGACAACAGTTTGAGCGAGTGATATATCTGTGTTTATTTCCACTAACGTGGGTGATTTATTAAGTGAACTCACCAGCGTACCGTCTTCAATGATCAACGATAAAATCTTAATCAAAAACCTCTTCAAAGATCTTCCTGTTCCGTCCGAAGCAATAAATTCCTTCCAATGGAATATAAGGGCCCTCGTTTGGAAAACGAAATCTTATATCCTAAATTATAATACTAGAAAGAAAATAATAATAATAACAAAACAAATGCAAATAAAATGTTTCCTTCAAAAACAGTTACGTTCGGTGTTAAGGTTAGAGGTTATGTAAGGGTTACCGCATTGTTTGAAATTTTATGAACGCCCCTGACATTGTTTAAATTTAAAACTGAATAAATTCAAACCTAACACCAAATATAAGAATCTATAGTTTTCACGGGATAAGTAGGAAACGTATTTTAAAAACAATTGTTCAGAGATTTTCGGAATGATCGATGAAACGGTGGTTCATTGTTATTAAATGTTTCTAAAACTTCCATGAAATTTAAATCTGAAAAATTAATTGATATTCCTCGTATCTTTCAGCAACTTATAAATATATTTATCAGAAGAGTGACGATTAATATTTAATTGGAACGTAATCAATTGTAAATTACGTAAATATACTGTATCTTGAAATAACCAAATGTTTAAGCCTTCCTTCGTCAATTCATGTATACAACGTTTGTATTGTAAGGAGATATAAAAGAGAATGTGCTTCAGCGACTGAAAAGAATTGCATACTTTAAAAGTAATTGTTTCAGATTTATATCCGTATTCAGAATGCATGAAAAGCTTTTTCGACATCAATCTGGACTTTCAATTAAATTTTGAAAGATTATATCATAATAAATCCACTGCTAATTGACCTTGCTAATTATCGCAAATCGATTTGATTAAGTATCGACACGTATCGGAACCACCGTTTCATTATTTACCTGAGTCAAGCTAATGTATGTACGTGAACTTTCCGATTGTTTTCGATGCTTTTCTGTTTCCTTCCTTTCTTGCAGTTTAATTCTTCCTGTATTTCCAGCAACGATTTTCCTTTGGTTTCCGGAACCATAAAGATAATAAAGATGATTCCAAGGAAACAACTGATCGCGAACCAACCGAAGGAGGTGTAAACACCGCAAGAATCGGAAATAACCTGATACATTTTTGAAACAAAGAATGCCAATAGAGACGCCCACAAATTCGCTATGGATACAGCAGCGCCTTTTACGTTGGTCGGAAATAATTCACCGAGCATCATATAAGCTAACGGATTCAAACCTAACGCGATAATTAGTTCGTAAAATATAACAGAGGCATGAAGAACCCAACCAAAACCAGTCATATTCGCCAACAGTTTGAACTTCAACAGATAAAATCCTCCGGCAACGGTCAAAGACAAACCACCGAGTAACGTAGTGACAAGAAGCAATGGCCTCCTTCCTAATTTATCCACCAGAGCTGCAGCGCCAACCCCGGCGACAAGCTGAAGTAAGCTTAAAACGATCACTGCTATTGCAGCGGATAATCCTGTATCGGCCTCCTCGAGAATCTCCTGAGTATACGACTCTATAGCGGCGAGACCACTGAATTGCAATACCAACTGTAGGCCAAAGCTGATTAACACGGCTCTTCTGTTACCTGGTGTGTTGAACAAGTCCCATATGTGTCCTTTGTCGCTGAGATCGCGGATAACCGTTTTCTGCATTTGTTCTATGTCTTCTTCTAACTGATCATCTGTCGCATACCTTTTCAGGCGTTTTAAACTATTCGTCGCTTTATCCTCGCAATTTATCATCAACAAATAATAAGGAGATTCTGGCATCCAACTAAACGTTAGAAAGAAGATTATAGGAATTACGGCACAGCTGTAAGCCAGACAATTATACGACACGAACGGGCCAATCGCGTGAGAATACAGCTCGCCGAATGTTACCATCAATTTGATAAAGGAGCCCAGCGATCCTCTCACTTCTTTATCGGCAATCTCGCCGATATACATAGGGCAAACAACGTATGAAATGCCAAGCCCGATTCCACTGATGAATCTCGAAACATAGAGAACGTACGGTTCCCAGGCTACGATGATTAAAATCCAACTAATCGTTAGTGGTATACCCGCTATCAGAAGGCACATTTTACGACCGAGCCAATCTACGATGAAAGCTGCGAGGATATTGCCGGGTATCGAGCCGAGAAGAACGAACGAAGCAATCCACGAGGCATCGTCCGAGGTTATTGGCAAGTGGGAATCTGGAGACTTTAATTTTGGTAATATCGGCGATGTCCAGCCTATATGAGAACCGGATGTTGCCATGGACAAGGTGGCTATATAGGGAAGAAATATGTACAACGTTATACGTATGAATAATTAAAAATATTATATATGCAAATATCATATTAAAAAGCATTATCAGCGATTGTTAAGAATGTATACAGATATTTATAATTTTTCTTATTTTTTAGAAAAATGAAATGAGACTAAATAAGAACTAAAACGATAATAAATGAATCATTTATATTTTTGATTTAAAGAACATTTCAAGATAGAACAAATTAATTATTAATTATGAAACAAAAAAAATTTTGCAAGTCCTTACACTAATTCGATAGGACATCTCAAATTTCTTTAATTATTTTTTTATTTTTCATTACATTTCTGTTTGTGTTAATTATCTAATCAATTGTAATCCTGTTATAATCTCAGAAAGATGAATACACTGGAAGCTAAAATTAACTGTTCTCGAAAGGACTGCATACACTAAATAATGGGTAATCATTTTATATATAGAATCACGATTAAATTAAAGAAGAACCATTACTAATAGCTCTGAAGATGTTAAATACGAAATGTTGATAAAGTGTATTATAGTGATTACGTATAACTTGATTAGTTAACAAGTGTAAACAGAAATATAATTATTATTAGACGCCAAATCTCGGTATCTTTGCTGTTATTCCGTTATTGATCGCAATCAGCTGTAGTAATCGGTTGTACATGCTTAAATAGTGTTATCTCGCCACTAATATTTCACTGATAGGAAAAATGATGCCCAAATATTAGAACGTGTTATTTTTATTTTTCAATTGCGCGTTTGTCGAATTAAGTATGTACTCTCTATTTCTACTTTGTAATTAATGACATTTATCATATTTCTTAAAATTAACATTTATTAAAATGACGCGCCTCGTGATGCATTTATGGATGCCAACAGTTCATTAATTACGCTTAACAAACAGCGTAATGTCGCTGGTATAACATTAATATTAAAACCTTATTCAGAATCATAAATTTGTGGTTACTACCGTGACAACGAAATGAATTATGAAACGAAATATCTTTTAATATTAATTAGAGATTAATTTACCTGTAATCGCTGCTAAATACTGCGGCCACCACTTGATGCGCGATTTGTTCATCTTTCTTATTTCTTCTTTTACGGACTGTAATTATTGAACGATGTTATTATATGTCAAATAAATTAAAAATTTATAATATAAATGTATCATAGATATTTTCATCGTTAAAAAAAAATTTGATAGCACTAGCGTTTTGTAAAATCTTTTATAGTTCTTCGTCATAATGTAGATTACGCGTTGATGGGCAAAATAACAATCTATTATCAACTATTTTACGATCAAAATTCTATTCGTTGATGTCAAAAATTTTGGATATTTTTTGGATAAGATTTAAATATTTATATTTTCCTTTTATCTTTTCCAGATTATTCTACAAATATTGCATCAGTAATTCTTATTTATTTATTTCCTAAATATAAACTGATAAGCAATTTTTGCTTGCAGATTTGGACAAAAATATTTTGGAGAAATATTTTTATTCTTAAGAAATGAAAATTTGGTGATCCATTTTGTTCATACCATAGCTAGCATTTTCTCGCAACCGTATTCCACACAATCAGGTGAAATTCTGAGCAGGTAAACTACAGGTAGTCTTTTTTCATATTATTAAAGAAGGGAAATATTATATGACTACGTATGTAACGTTTGTAATTATTGCCCAGGTTGCAAGAAATAACTAATTAAAAACTGTAGGGTGTGCTATCATTGTGCTACTGTACTGTATCTAACGAAAAAATATATTCAAAGATTATCACTGTCGAAGCAACGTAGAAACAAGTGACAATGTTCGAGTCAGATCACGAAGAATGGAAAATTTGCATCAATTTCTGATTGACGATAAGCACGGTTATTGCGATATTTACAGAGATAGCGATGAAACACGATGATGCCACCAGGAAGGACGACGGTTTTGCGCTGGTGTTCTTCGTACCTCTAAGGCATTATAGACACGATGTGAGCTTAATCACGATGTACTACATTTTATATGTCGGTTTATCAGTTTCCCTGTTATCACAATCGAATCTCGTGCACACCCCACTTCGTGGTTAGCGAAACCCATTAACATTTTCGAGAAACGGGAATGAAAAGGAAAGAAAGCTTAGAATAGACGAGATAAAGATAGAATTTGGAGAAGTCCAAGGACAAGTTTCAAGAGTTTGTAACTATTTCATCTATTTGCCTTTTTAAGCAAAGAACTTCGTTACCTTATGTAGAATTACTTTTCAGGAAGACGAACGTTTAAATTTTAAACTTGAAGTATAAGATGTCACCAGCCAATGAAATATTTATAGAATGTACCACGATGAGTAGTGCAACTGGAAACTACTACTGGAAACCTAGATTACTTTTTAATTTAAGATTTTATATTTAAGAATATTCTTAGAAAAAAATATTTTTTTCTTAATTTTTAAGAAAATCAAATTTAAAACGCTCTCGAATATGTGTATGTTGAATGTTTCAATTGATATTAAAATTTCTTTTAATACAAAAATTTGTATTACCTTTCCTATTAATGTTCTCAAAAATGGCTTCATATTGAAAAAACCCGAATTTTATATTTTTGATTATTCTTTGTATATAGAATCATTTCCTTTCTCATTTTCATCATTTATTGTAAGATACTCTAAATAGTAAAATAAAATAGACCATGTAAGTTATAATTATAAGAAAGAAGCTTTTTTTGGTCTTTTGCACATATATTAGTTATGTTACTAAAATAATAAGTATATAAGAAGTTTTTAAATTTAGCGCCCTCTTTAAAAAAATTAATTATCATATTTCATGAATAAATCATATCTTTGTACGAAATATCGATTACTATATAACTTTCATCTTTTTCAAAACACAAATAAAATGGACGTATCCTTTTTCAAATAATACTAAAATAAAAGCATCGCTAGAAAGTATTAAGGAGGTAGAATACACAGTGTTCTACTTTAAGCATCGACCGTTCTGACGTTCCACTGACTCTCATTGCATTGATGAAGATACACTCGGTATGTACAGTACTTTGAGAGTATGAAATTTTAATAATGCCATTCTATGAGAGGTAGTTACCTATATTTTTAAATGTCAGTGCGGAGAGATATGTTAATATTGTTGTTTTATACAATTGTGAGTATACTATAGCTGCTATACTTTATAGAAAATAATTACGGATTGATTGCAAGCGAAATGTAATTTACACGTAGCTTCTTACTAACAGAATGTGCAGCAGGA